GCTCTGCCTTACAGGCTGCAGACCTGAGAATTTTGGATTGGTAGTTTTGACATATTGTCTGTAATCTCTGGTGTTTGTAACAGTAAAATTAGAATGACATTCCATGTCTAGGCTTGCTGAGAAGACCAGATGACTATGGAAATTAGTATGAGGATTCCTCAAAAAAACAAAAATAGAAATTCCCTTTGTCCCATGTATTCCTCTTCTAGGTATCTTCCCAAAAGAGTTAAAGATAACAAATTACAGTAATATATGCCTGTCCATGTTTATAGAAGCACAATTCACAATAGCTAAACCTTGGAAGTGGCTTATAAGTTCACCAACAGGCAAATGGATAAAGAAAATGATATACACATAATGAAGTACTCCTCAGCCATGAAAAGGACAATCTTGAGTCATTTGTAGGAAAAAAAGGATGCACCTTGAGACCATAATGTGAAGTGAAATAAATCAGACACACAAGCTTAAATATCACATGGTTTTTCTTATATAAGAAAGGTGAAGTTTAAGTAATTTGAAGAGCAAAATAAAAGAGAGATGTCACAAAATAGGAAAGTAGATCCCCTGCAAATGGGTAAGGGAACTTGAGAGGGAAAAGGGAAGGGAAAGGAAGGGGAGGTAAAAAATAATTAAGATGTGTAATGAACATGTGTCATCTTCCCATCGTGGATGCAGTCATAGACAGCAAACATGTACTGTGCTCACAAAGGAGCTTTATGAAATACAAAAAAGAGAACTACTTAACTAGCGTTTACCAAATAGCATCGTGTCAGCCAAATCCAGGCCATCATCTGTGTGTGTGTGTGTGTGTGTGTGTGTGTGTGTGTGTAAAGCTAAGGATACTTTTACATTTTTAAATGGCTGAAAAAATCGAAAGACGATAAATACTTCATGATGTGAAAGTTACATGAAATTCAGATTTCAGTGTCCCTAAGTTTTGCTGGCGCGCGTGCCCTAGCTTACCCATTGTCTGTGGCTGTGTCTGCACCGCAGTGGCAGAGATGATATTGATAAGACGAGCTCTTGTGACAGAGTCCCTGTGGCAGCCTACAAAGCTGAGAATATTTGCTATCTGGTCCTTTGCAGATAAGATTGGCCCACCCTAGATTTAAATTAAATATAGCAACAAAAGGCATTTTGGTTTTAGATTTTCTTAAGTTATTGACAAAGTTCTTATTACATGGTAGGAGCTCACTAAAACAATATCAGTGATGTTCCTTTACTCCATTCTTAATTCAATAAGTTATTTTTGCATGCACACTGTATGCCAGCTTCAAGAGCTGTAGGACATAGTAGTGAACATAATGAAAACAATGCCTGTGCCCATGGGGGAGCCAGTAAACAGGTAAGTGGGAAAGGAATGGAGAGCAGAGAGTTTCAGGATAGAAATTGCAGTTTTTAGGCACAATGGCCAAGGGAGATGTCATTGAGAATGGGGCATTTGAGTGTAAACCTAAAGGTGCAGGCAGCCCGGGGTGCTGGGAGCAGGATGGGGGGGGGTGCCACACAGGTCAACAGAGCTGGAGCCCTGAGTGGAAGAGTGCTTGGTGTGCTTGGGGAAGACCAAGCAGGCAGGGTGGCTGGAAAGGAGTGAGCAAGAGGGAGAAGAGCAGAAGATGAAGTTAGGAAAGTGCTGGTGAAGCTTTGGTCAGGCCCTAAGGAACTACCTAGGGACTCTGGCTTTTCTCTAAATGAAAGAATAAGAAAGAATTTCAAGGAAAATAGTAGCATAGCCTGGCATGCATTGAATCTGTCTATACTAAACATGTGCAGACTTTTTGTCATTCCCCAAATGCTACATTGTAACAACTACTCACTTACCATTTGTGTTGCGTTGGGTAGTAGACATAATCTAAAGCCGATTTAAAGTATACAGGAGGTGAACATAGATAAGATGCAAATGCTACACCATATTGTCTCAAGCTTTTCGTCCATGGATTTTGGTACCTCAGGAATCCTAGAACTGTTACCTAAGGATAGTGAACAATGACTATATTTGGAAAGTGGTGGAAAGGGTGGATTGGGTGTGGGTTATGAGAAAAAGAAGACTCAGATCCTCCGACTCCATCTTTTCTAACTCCATCTTCAACCAGAGTAACGTAGTGATCATCAGTGTGAGAAGTGAAAGATGTCAGAAATATGTTTGCCATTGAGCAGCAGGGAAGAGGGGAGAAGAGGATGTGGAAGAATTAGAGCACAAGGAAGATGTTAACATGGAAACACTGAGCTGGGAATTCCATTAGACATCCGGGGGAGAGGTGCAGAGTAACGGGATGTGGAATTCTAAACGCTGAGAGGAGTGATCCAGGCTGGAGATGTAAACACAGAAGTCATGGAAGGATAGATGGAATGTGAGTATTGTCGTGTCTATTTGGTATTATAGGATGACACCGTATACATCACAAATATATTGGCAGCAACATCTAAAAAGTAGATGTTAGGCCTAGCATCAGAAATAACCCAAAAGGAAAGGTTCAAAAGCAAGTAGAATACCAAGATCCGCCATAAAAAGTATAATTACCATTTATAATTAGAATTGCTCCTGATATATCTAATTGAGGAAATAGTTTTACAGTGAATCAAATTATAGTTTCATAAGTTGATTTTACAGAAATTAATTATAGCATTATGGTATTTAATTGGGGGATATTGCATATTATCTCCATGGAAATTAATAAGCCACTTGATGGATGCCAAACACCTCCTTACATTAGTTAAGATTAGGGAGAAGCTGGGCATGGTAGCAGATGCCTATAATCCTAGCACTAGGGAGGCTGAGGCAGAAGGACTGCTGTGAGTTCAAGGTCAGGCTAGGCTACCTGAGTTTAAGGCAACCCTGGACTACACAGTGAGACCTTATCTCAAACAAACGAACAAAATCAGGAAAATAAAACTATCTGAATTATGAACAAACAGAATATGATGTATCAGAATCCCACAGGATAATTCTAACAATTAAATTTTTACTGAGTCTCATAAATGCTTCAGTTTCCAAAAAATTTTCTTTTTACTAACATAGCCTCCTTGTATGATAAAAACAAAATCTTTACGTTTGGACAATTATCCAGGCTGACTTGGTTAGATTTCATGAATGTGTCTTTGCTATAAAGCAGGGTTTCTCAGTCTTCCCTTCATTACTGCCTTCCACAACCAAGGAGTCTTTTTTTGTAGACTTTTTCCCCTGATCTCCATCCCATGAAAACTTTTTCTTTTGATAAAATTTGCCAAAAGAATATTTATCATTTAACCACCTGTCACTAAATATGTCTATAGGGTTATGTAACCATCAGTACTCTCCGTCCCAAACCTTCCGCCATCCCCAGCCTAAACTCCCCATTCTCCACTCTTCTCAGCCCCGGCAACCTCTGCTGTCCTTTCTGTCTCTGAATTCGCTTATTCTCAGAGCCTCATGTAAGTGGAATAGTGATAATTTTACTGTATCTGGTCTAATTTGCTAGCATAATCTCTTCAAAGTTTATCCCTGTTGTAAGATGTATCAAAATTTCATTACTCTCTGTGGCTGAATAATATGCATATATATAATTTTGCTTATTCATTCATCTGTTAATGGACACTTAGCTTATTTCAACCTTCTGGGTACTGTGAACCTTGGTTTACAAATATCTATTAAAGTCTCTGCTTTCAATTTTAGATATATACCTAGGTATGGAATTGATGGTCTATGGAATTTTAATGCCACAGATGCACTCTATATGCATATATATGATAGTTTATATGTGCTTATATATTTGTTTATTATATATATATATATATGATTTTAGCTGTGTCTATGCTTCCCGTATTAAAAAGTAAGATTGTTTCACCACTCCCAGAATGAATTTTCACCACCATGGGGGTGGAGTCACCCTCATCAATAATTCAACTCTAAACTAAAAATTTCTAGGATTCCTACCTCAAAATGAAACATATATGTAGCTAATGTACATGCAGATGTACTGCTAAAGAGTGAAACCATGGAAATATGAAAAAGGACCCCAAAACACATAAGTATAAAATGTAATCTGTTACCAATGGAATAAAGTTATTTGTATTTTATTGGTGTTCAAAATTGACATTCAATAAAGTAATAAACCCAAGAATATTTTGGAAAACAGTTATTAGTAGTCATGTCAGGACCTACCCAATCCAGCAGCTATTCTGTCTGTTGAAAGCAGTAGCAATTGATGATGTTCTTCTCACCGAGACAAAAATATCTTCAGAACACAAATAGAATGATTACAAGTATGTAAAAATTTAAAAAGTGAAACACATGTAGGATCTGAAGATCAAAGAAGCAGGAATCCTGGTATCTGCTAGGTCACAGGACAGTCTTCCAGCTGTGTAATCCATAGCGTGTCTGCCTGGAAGGCGCTTGGCAAGATACCTGGCACATACACACCTAGGTTTTATTATAGTGTGATTACTACATGGTTTCATTATGTAAAGAAGAGATTTAAAAGATTGTAGAACAGTATGAAATAACTCAGAAGTTTCAAATACCTGAAAAAAAACCTTTATCAAAAGCAAGGAGAGACCAAGGAATTACCAGAGTGGAAACTGAGGAAACATGTCACTAGATGCAATGTGTGACCCTTAAGTGGATCTGGGACAGAGAAAGGACATTAATGGAAACAATGAGAATTTCTGAATAAGCTCTATACCTTACTTAGCACGAGTGTACCAATATTAACTACTTAGTTGTAGTACCCATTCCAGGATCATGCCAGATGTTAACAAGATATTAGCAGGATGAGTGTGAGACATAGAGGAACTCTCTGTCCCATATTTGCACCTCTTCAGTGGGTTAAAAAAAAAAATCACTTCAGAACAAAAAGCAAAAACAACCAACTTACTGGTAGCTCCTGAGTATCAGCAGCAAACTTGTGACTGCCAACTACTGAGGAAGGGTCAGAGAGGGGAGTGTGCTCTTGCAGCCTTGCAGCTGTGACATCTGCCGTGACAGTAACTCCCCCGTTGTCTGCTTTGCAATCCCGTGGCAGGGTGTGCTGGGTGCATCATGTCACCGGCATGTGGGTGTACCCTTTCCTGGAACACATCGGCTCCGGAGCCAGAATCGTCTTCTTTGGGTCGACAACCATCTTGATGAACTTTCTGTACCTTCTGGGAGAAGTTCTGAACAACTATATCTGGGATACACAGAGAAGTAAGTATTGTTCCGGGGAACATAAAACAAGAGAAGTGCCGCCCACCAGAGCTCTTGCAGAGCCAGAGGAGAAATTCCACAGCAGCCCATTTGTTAAGCCTTTCCAAAGGTTCTCTTTGGAAGTTTCACTTTTATAACGATGATAATAATTTAGGAGCTGCTGGCAGTTTTACCTGAAAGATTTACTACTCATTCAGTCTTACTAGTCAGTAAAACATCCAATTCTAAAGAGGAAAAAAGTGTGTCTGTAAAATTTTATAGGGAAAAATACCAGTGTTAACAGAAAAGAAAGTTAGAGAAGGTTGCTCTGACTCACAAAATACTACTTTCACTAAAAGGACCCCAAATTAAACGGGTAAGTTATTAATGTAACCAAATAGTCTCATTAAAAGACACCCAGACATCCACTTACAGTAGTCTCAGAGGGGTTCCACCCCACAAGGCTAGAACTCCAAGCAGTGCAGAATGCCCAGCCAGAGGGATTCCCCATGACTATCCTCTCTCTGTAAGGTTCCAAGGTGGCAAACAGGCGCAGGCAGTCACTGGTAACATGTACTTCATTGCTGAACACCCCTCTCACCCTATGACTTGATCTCTCTGTTTTCATGTATGGCAGAGGCTCCATTTTAGCAAGCGTGTAATCTTGTCCAAGCTCTGCACAGCCTGCCCAGGGTGTATGTAACATAAACACTGGAAGGTGGAGAAAGCCCCAGTGCAGACTTACAGTGACTTGAGTCCTGTTCGGAAATACCTCCCATGGCAAGATGGCATGGAGATTTTAGGGAGCTCTGGACATCTCTCTGACATGGTCACAGCCTTCTAGATGGCACCCATAAATGGGTTTCTGTGCCATACCCAGCGAATGCCCTACTCTATACTCAACCCAGGAACCCAATCTAACACACAAATAAAGCACAGTGATGACTTATACTCAACCCAGGAACCCAATCTAACACACAAATAAAGCACAGTGATGACTTAGTCATTGAATCAGACTTTTTCGTCGTTGGTCTTCAAGATTGTATGGGGCAAGGTATTGGTCCAAGTTAAGTGGTCCTTAGGAATTATATCAGTGGCTTTTAGTTTGATAAACTGTCTATTTACAAGATGTTCTTTTTCAAATTCTCTTGAGACCATAGCCTGAGAAACCAGAAATGAAATCTTTTACTTCTGTTCCCTCTGTTCCACAGAAGTAATCTTTCTCTGTTAAGTAATTTATAGAGGTATCTAGTTAACTGACAAAAATTTTTGAAAACTAACTTTTAACTTCCTCATCCTCTTAGGATAGAGCATGTATTTAGATTTAAGCTAATATGTCCCAAGTAGGAAAGATCTATGACTGCTTATATCCTCTTCATTTTTTTTTTTTTTTTGGTACCAGGGATCAAACTCAGGACCTTGCACTTGTGAGGCAGGCAGCAGAACCACTGAGCTAATTCCCTGGCTATATCCTCTCTTTTTTTGGTACCAGGGATCAAACTCAGGACCTTGCACTTGCAAGGCAAGCAGAGGAACCACTGAGCTGAATCCCCAGCTCTATATCCTCTTAATTTGCCTGATTCTGACGGTCATTTGGCCATTGTTCTAATACTTCTGTGAGAGCATGACCTGAAACCAGGAGAGATAAATATCCAATCAAGATTTTTAAAAATATTGCTTCTTAATAGCTTTAAATAAGGAGTTAAAATGATCAGCTAAATTAAAGTTTTTACAAATGGCCTAATCAGTGTAGTTTGTGCCATTGTCCTGCATACTGTAAGGTAAGGTTGGATTAATTTTATTTACATCTCTCTAGATGATTCCATAAAGACGGATGTTTTCTGTCAGTAGGCATCTTTCCATTAATATTAAGGAGGGTTACAAACTACTGGCCTTCCCCTAGATGTTACCCACCAAGAAGTTTTATTGGGTTTACCAACCCTTGCCTTTACCGAAGGCAGCTGAGGCCCAGACATCTTTCGTGATCCACCAGAGTAGTTGGCAGAGCCATCTTTCTTTTCCCCCACTAGTGACAATTGAACTCTACATCCCCATCCTTTTTTTTTTTTTTTTTTTTTTGAGAAAGCGTCTCACTAAGCCACTAAATTACCCAGGCTAGGCTCGAACTTTCAATCCTCCAGCCTTAGCCTCACAGGATGTTGAGACTACAGGTGTGCAACACCACACCCGGCAAGAGCCAAAGTCTTTTGCCAGGACTCAGTCCAGTATTATCTCCAGGTTTTGGAAACCTAGATATGTAATAGCACAGGGACTTCACTTGGAACCTCAGACTCAGCTTATAAAATAACAAAAGAGCCCAGCCTGCTAGGAAATAGGAACTTTAAGACATTCTTCATACAGTCTAGAGGCTAGAAGTCCCAGGTCAAGATATTAGCAGGACTGGCTCTTTACAAGATCTGCAAGGAAAATGTCTCTTCCCATATTCTCCAGAGCTGCAGTTACCCATCTTCATGGTCACTGGCGTTTTCCCCATGTGTGTGAACATCCCCCAACTCCCGATGTTATAAGGACACCAGTCACATTCAATGAGAGCCCACCCGGATGAGACATCACTGTAAAGTTGTGAAGATCCGGTCCAAATAGAGCCATAATCTGAGACACTGTGGATTAGAAATTAAGCATACGAATTAGGGGGAGCATAATTCAGCCCATAACACTCCACCCTCTCCCCTTGCAAAGTTCATGTCTTTTGCACATGCAAAACATATGTACCCCATCAGTGCCCCCCCCTAGTTTTTTCCAACATCAACTCTTAAATCCAAAAATTGTATTTTAAACATGACATAAATCTGGTATGGGAGAGATTCTGGGTCTGGTTCATCCAGAAGCAAAATTGTTCCCCAGCTGTGTGTGAATCTGTGAAACAAGACAAAATGTTTTCTGCTTCTGAAACACAATGGTGGGGCAGGCATAAAATATCAATTCCTCTTCCAAAAGGAGAAAGGTCAGGAAGACAGGGGTCATGGTTCCCAACAAGCCTGATTATGACCAGAGAGAACTCCCTTCCATCTGAAGGCTTCAAATAATCCTCTTTGGCTGGAGACTGTGTTCTGAAGACTCTTGGGGAAGGAGGTGGCCCAAGCTCCACCCCTGGGACCAGCAGCTCTGCCCCACTAGCCCTGGGCAGCAGCCCCACCCTCTCGAACCAAAGGAGATGGAGTCCCTGAGCCTCTTTGGAGGGCCTGGTCTTTAATTCCATCATGTCTCTGTCCTTTACAAGCCACACAGCACTGTTTCTGCTGGTATAAAATTCTCAAAAACTATATTGGCCTCTGGAACAATTCAAAGGGATCCAAGCTAGTAGACAAAAGGGTCCTCCACCAGAAGGGAGAAAGGAGAGGAGGTTACAGTCAGGCCTGGGTGTGCAGAAAGCCCTTTCTTCTGCAGAAACCCATCTGGGCCACTTCTCCTGCAGGCCCACCAACCTGGAAATGTGGAGGCGCTGCCCCAGGGGAAGCCCCTCTCCCATACTGGGGCGTACCTGGGACTGCCTCCCTCTGTGTCCATTAGTCTTATTCCACAAACATAGCCTGCTTCAGCCCTGTGGCAGGTTTCTTTCTGCTTCTTATGTGGAAAATACACTTCTGGTTCTTCCAGGCATTGTTTACAGCTGTTTGGGTTTTTGCCCCCACTCTGTACCTCACAGCTGCGAAACTGAAGTAAGTGGGGAGCCCTTTCCCTGACTAGATCATTGAGCACCCTGTTTTCCATGAAGATTCCACCACTGCCACCACTGCAGCCCATCAGCAGGAGAGGCCTTGGAGGAAACAGACTTTGGAAAGAAAAGGAAACTCTTACTGAACCCTGACTGCCTTCCACAGGGGAGAGAGAGTAGAACAGAAGTCAGGACTCTGGTGTGCAGGTTGAATGAATCTGCTGTGTTTCCTGCCTTTTCCTCAGCTACCCAACAGTGAAGCCACGTTGGATCTTCTTGCCTTCAACCCAGTTCCTCCTCCTTTCAGATAGATGTTCTTGCTCCTCAATCTGAAGTGCTTCTAAATATGATTTATGAGAAGTGCTTTGCAAAATGTTCAATAGGCCTCTGCCACTTCCCTAACCATGTAAACCAACAAATGATGGAACAGAGACAACTACAGGAGCATTCACCCACATTCAACCGCACATTCTTGACCCCATGAAACATGCACTAGGACGTGGGAGGGCTTTCCTAACGTAGGCTCTAAAATCATGGCCCTCTAGGGTTGGGCTTAATGATTTCTTATATTGTAAGGCTCTGTATCTTGTGCTGCTTTCCTGCTTGCTAATCCAACTGTCTGAGCCCCCAGTTTACCCTCCCTCTCTCTCTCTTCCCCTTCTCCCCACCATGCACCCACTCTGAGACACATGCTGTTTTAGGTGCTAAGGATAGAATCAGGTAAAGGTCCTGACCTCGGAGAGCTAGCAGTTCATAAAAGAATACTAACAAAACCTTCAAGGTGGTATTTTGAGTTTCTTTGTTACATGTTTGCTATTGAAACAAAGACACAAAAAGTCTCTGAGAGTTTACCAAGATTAGAGACAAAAAAAGCAGGGACCATTTCCAAGCAGAGCTAAAATTCGAAAGAATGACTCGAACACGTTCATCCCCATGAGAATGAGACATGGTGGACAGTTCACTACAGACAGCAGACAGACCTGACGGCTCAGCACACACAAGTCCTGCCAAAAGAAAGGCATGAGATTTTAGGTTTGGGTTCACTAGAGGAGAGTTTAAGCACAAATGGGTGTGGAGCTGGGTGGAGCTCAGTGGGGAAGCACTTTCCTGGCATGCAGGAGGCCCTGGGTTTAATCAAAATTGCAAAACAGTTTTTCAAAAAGTATAAATAGATATGGAAATAAAGAGTTCTGATAATTAGTAAAGTTCCCATGGGGTTTTAATTTTTTTTTAAATAAAAGTAAATTCATACAAAAAGGTGTTTTGCTTTTGGAAATCAAGAGTCCTGGACTTAAAAAAAAGAGAAGAGTAAAGTTTAAAAAGAAAAATGAAGTCTGCTTGAAAGGCATGGGCCGTAAGCTCCTGTCACTAGAAGCTGGTGAAGAAGATGTCCTCTGGCTGGGGTTTCTGTGTAAACTCCACAAGTCAGGAATGGACTTGTGGGCTTCCCTCCCAGAAGTGCAGGGAGCTGCTGTGTCCCGGAAGTCCTGTGTCCTGATTCAGAGAAAGGGCGGGGAGAGAGATCACTGAGGATGTTTCCAGAGAATGTTGTAAATGCCTTTTCCCTCTTCGCGAGGAGAAAAAAAGGTGCAGGACAGTGAGTGGGGAAAGTATGAGAGGAGAGAGTTTTATGAGCAGTTTTGGCAGACCTGCTTATAATTTAATTCGATGCTGATATAAAGCACTTTGCTTTTATTTCTAGGTATGGAAGAAGAGAAAGAGAAGCCTAAACTGGAATGAGACCCAAGTGTAAAGGGAAGAGTGAGCTTGAGCCGCTATTTTCTCCTCCCCTCTGGGCCTTAGCAGAAGGAGAGAAACCCTGGAGGGAAGCTGTGGCATCAGCCACTCCCGCCTGGAGGGAGGACACCTTTTATATAGAAATCTATAGAATACGCTGGTTTCTAAAATCACCTGCATTATGCTTTGAAGAATTATTTCCAAATACATTACTGATAGCATCATTTTTTTTCTTTTCTAGTTTCATAATTAAATTTGATCATTGGATTTTCATTTTGGCAATTACAATTCCGTTTAATCAAGGAATAATGAAATTTTGTGTTTCTTGTCAAACTTGAGAACTGTGTAAAAGTCAAGTCGTTGTGAGGCCAGGCATCGGGGTGTTTTGTCCTAAATATGCTGGAATAATGAACCTGGGCCACTCTGCAGGCCCGAGAGGGATCAGCATAGATGGTTCCTATTGCGATAAAAGTCACAGTTGCCTCTGTGGTCAATATTAGTAAAAATGGCATCAACTTCATCAAAACCCTGAGTGTACGTGGATCTTCTGATTTAATTTTGTGAGTCTTCCCAGATGCAAACTTTAATAAAGACCAGACAACCTAAACCTAATGTCTGCATGGTGCATCTCAAAATCCTAAGATTGTTGTCTCCTTTATTTTCCTTCTATTACCTGTTGAAAGTGGGTTTACTGTACCTGTTCTTTCCTATAAGTTTCCAATTTTAAAAAGATGTGTTTTTTAAAATCATTCCAAAATACTAATGCATAAAATCTTGAGCATAATTTTGCTTAATTTTTATTAGCACGTCTTTGCAGTATATACTGTTTACATTTCTTTTGTGGAGTTGGTACATGTACATAACACATCTCAATTCCCTTAATGATTTTTAAAGTAGGAAATAGAATGTTGTATGAGTTAGAAAATATACTTAACACAAACATAGGTGTTGGTTGTCCATGCAAGGACAGATCAACTAGTAATATAAAACCACTTACTTGAAAAATTATTATTAAATTTTAACGGGTAATATAATTTAAGAAATGCCAGAAATCTTCCTCTGTGTGTGTGCGTCTCTCTCTGTCTCTCTCTCTCATATATGCTATACACATACTAAGCAAGCTTCATCATTCTCATTGACTATTGCCAAAGGCCCAATACCCGCCTGAACAGAGGAGAAAGGTTTCTAGGATGTTCCTGATACTTTATTTACAGATAATCCACAGTAGATATAATAGTTAGTAAATATGTATATTTCACAGTACACATTTTAAACCCAGTTTTAATATACTATTTCATTAAAAATTTCAGCCTGAAGGAGAAAAGTTCAGCTAATAATTATGTAAAAAACATACACATACCATAAAATACTATGAAAGAACTACACAAGCATATCAATATCAATAAACATAAAAAGGTTAGTTCATGTATTGAAAGAAAAAGGTTTTCAGACTATATCTCAAAGGAAAACCCAACTCTATCTTTTATATTTGAAAATGGACACAAAATGAATAATTCTGGAAGATTGAAAACATAAGCAAAAATACACTTAAAATGGTAAACAAAAAGAAACAAGTGTTGTGATTTTAAAATGAGACAATGTGCAATTGGGGCCCAAGTTCCACATGGTGAATTCACTCAGTATTTATATGCCCCACTTTGAAAAGCATGGTTAACGGTAATACAGACCACATCTGAAAGAACTGGGGCTGGGAATTTAGCTCAGTGGTTCTGCCACCTGCCTCACAAGCGCAAGGTCCCAAGTTCAATCCCCGAGTACCCCCCCCAAAACAGAATCACCATATTTGTTCTCTACTTCATGGAGTTGGAACTAGTCAGTAAGAAAGGTCAAACAAAAATCTATCAAAACAGAAAAGCAAAGCAATACCATGTCCTTATAATATCAGCTTTATTTTGATGGGACCACTATCAGAGACTTCAAAGATCCAAGATTGGTGGCTGTGATCACAACTATGTTTAGCTTACTTTGACCTGTATTATCAGTGAAATTGCAGCCTGCTAAAATTCATATGTCGATGCCCTACACCCTACACGCTAGAACCTCAGAATGTGACCCACTTGGAATAGAACCTTTAAAGAGGTGCTGAGGCCATTCGTGTGGGCTCTAAACCAGTCTGATTGCTATCTTTATAAGAAAGGGAAATTTATTTGCCCAAAGAGACACCAGTGATGCACTGGAAAAGATCATGTGAGGACCAACTACAAACCAAGAGCAGAGGCTTCAGAAGAATCCAAACCTCTGATGCCTTAGATTTCGATTTACAGCTGTGAGAACTGTGTAAAACCAAATCTCTGTGGTTTACACTACCACCAGTCCATGGGATTTTGTTAGAGCAGTCCTAGCAAACTGACACTTCCTGCGTACAAAGTGTACAAAGACTGATGGATTCTGGAGAATGATAATGAACTATCATTAATTTGTTTATGTGGCTCCTCCAGAGAAGGTGTCCTTTGTGCTGGAGTAAATCAGTATAAGCCCAATGATGTGGCCTGAAACTATTACAACTTTCTTTTACCTGGAAAGGATACCAGTGTACACTACCTTCACTATCTTTTTTAAAGCTATTTCAATTATGTCTGCATTAGTGACATTGATTACATAATCATCCATGGGCCATCAAGGTTCTGTTACACTGATTATATCATACTCTTGGGAAGATGCAGCAAGTACACTAGATACCTCAGTAAGACAATGCACGCCAATGGACAGTATGTAAATAGCCCCTTCAAAAACAAAAATCTAGGGCCATCTACATTTGTGAAGTTTCTAGGGCACCAGTGATCTATGAGACGTATGAGTCTATGGCCTCTGAAGTGAAATCAAATGGTTTCATGCTTCATGCATTACCACTAGAAAAGTACAATGATTAGTGTGCCTCACTGGATTTTGAGGGAAACACACATCACATTGAGTGTGTGGTCTTTATCTCTTGTGCACAGTTTTAAAAATTAATTAGAGCTTTACAAATAAAAAAGGTTAAACTACCACAGTTTTCTGTTGATATGATTTTAAGCAAATGCACATACACAAAACCTGCCCCAGTTATTTTTTACTGCCAACAAAACCACCTCAAAACTTACTGGCTTCAAACAACATTTACTTTGCTAACAAATCTGCAGCTCAAGCAGGACTTACAAGCAGAAACCTGCTGGAGTGACTGGAAGGCTGGGGACTGAAGTGATCTGGGGACATTTTTCTTGCATCTCCAGTGACTGCTACAGGCTGATGCCTGAGACCTCAGCTGAAACTGTGACTGGAACAACTATGTGTTCTTGTGCTCTTTGCATGTGGCTGCTTTGCTTCATCCCATGTGGTTACTTGTCATTTCTATTTTGGCTTTGTCATAATATGGTGGCCTGGCTCCAGCAAGTCCAAGTGGAAGATATGGGTATGTTTCTTAATATGACTCGCCATCAGAAGTAACACCAAGCCACTTGTGCTGTCGTCACAGGGGAGGAGGGAGTACAGACACCAACTTCTTGATGGAGGAAGATCAACATCACATTGTAAACAAGACACAGGATTAGAATATATTGGAGGCTAGATTTGGAAACTACAATCTTCCACACACACACACCCAAAACAATAAACTGAAAACTGACTTGACAATTGAGATAATTTAAGAAAGTGATAGCATATAAAATTAATATATGAAAATCAGTAGTTTTCATATACACAAGTTATGAGAAATAATGGAAGAAAATGTTTCATTTGCAGTAGCTACAAAGTTATAAAGAAAATTATGAATCAAGTGATGCGAAATAAGATTTTAACAAATAGAAACATATACCATGTTTTTAAACACTGTATCTTAATTATGCCAAGTCTAAAGTTATAAATTCAGCATGAACTCAATAAAAATACTTTTCTATTTACATATGTATTTATTTATTTATGAAATCAAGTAATTTAATCCTGAAAGTCAAATGTAAAATTAGCAAACAAAAATTTTTAGGAGCTGTCTGAAGAAGAAATGAACAGCAATGAAGAAGTAAACTAATGAAAACAAATATTAAAATATACCTCATTAAAACAGTATAGAACTGATAAGACATACAAACTGATAGAGGAAATCAGTAGAAAGATCAATAATAAAAAGTATATATGGTAATTTATAACATGTATTTCTACGTGTGTTTTACTTATTAATTGCCCAAAGTCTGGGTATTAGTGAGCTTTCCCATTACTGGGACACCGTAATCAATACTCACAGTTTAAAAGAGGACAGGTTTAATTTGGCTCACGGTTCAGGGGATTCTGTTGATTCCAAGGCAAAAACATCATGGTAAAATTCTTCCTACTCCCTAATATCTATCCTCTTTTGCTCCTTATTTGTATTTTGGCTTTCTCACACAAGAGAAACGATGTGATGTTTAAACTTGTGTGTCTGATTCATTTCCCTTAAGCATATGGTCCCAAGGAAGGGAACAAAAGATGGGGTAGGGGATAGAAGGGAAAAGAGATTAACACAAGAGTTGAAAGAAAAAAAACAAAATAGAGCTTTTGCAAATGGGGAGAGGAAGAAGAGTTGGAGTGAGGGGAGAAGCAGACAAAAAAAAAAAGAATTAAGACGCGTTATGTACATGCACACATTCCCCATGATGAGTGTGAGTGTTACGAGCTACAAACATGTACTAATAAAAAATGTAGTAAATTTTTAAAAACATCATATAAAAGAACATTTTGAAAGGACATGGCAACAGGGAAAACTGCTCACCTCATGACAGCCAGGAGGCAGAGAGAAGGCAGCCAAAGGCACAACCCCCTATACACCTCTGTCAGCCAAGCTCCACATCCTAACAACACATTTAACTATGGACTTATCAATGGATCAATCCACTGATGAGTAAAAACTCCCCATAAGCCAGTCACCTTGCAAAAGCCCCACTTCTGGAGAGCATTCTAGATCTAAACCATAACATTTTATCATAAAATAATGGGAACAATTAATATAATAGTAGGACACTGGTTGAATACACTATAGTAGCTCCACTCAGTAGAACACTATATAGAAAGTATTAAAAATAAGAGAAGGGAAAAGAATGAAATGATGACATTCTCTGCGTGCCAACATGGGAAACTTTCTAAAACTTCACCCTGAATATTAAAAATAAATGTATTACTATGTATAATATTACCTTCTTTGTGTTAAAATGATGGTGAAGGAGACAAAAAGATGGACTTTTACTTACATATGCAAGAGGAACTTTCAAAGTTTGCATGAAAGTGCAAAAGGTCCTGGGTTTAATGGTAGAGGGTGAAACAAGACTGATTGTCCAACAGCACTGGTGGGAACTGGTTCCTTGTATATATTCTTAGCTGTTTTTTAATTTTTTCAAAACTCTGTCATCTATTCTGACAAAGTAATTTTAACCTCAACTCTGAGGGGAAAAAGTATGTTAAAGACAAAAATAATTAATTGCCTCCTAATCGGAAAAGAATAGCAGAACACATCACAAAAAAACTTACCAGATGTGACTAAAGCTATATTTAGAAAAAATATATAGCCTTATATTTTATTTTTATCCAAAAATTTAATAAAGAAAAATTATATAGCAAGTAGAAGTAGAAAACATACAAATAAAT